TATTCTAGGTATTTATGCTTGTGACTTTATATTACTTCTGTTTTTCACATTTGAATATAAATAATATACAAAGCTTCTAGCAGTTGGATTACAACATATAACACCAATACCTAGTGTTTGTAAGATATATTATTCTTTAAAAATATTCTATATGTCGCTCTGTGCATCTCAAATTGTGCGAGTATTATCGGTGAATTATTAACTGTATTCTGAAGATAGGGAAATGAGGACGCACAGGCAGATTCTTGTCTTAAGATACGTAAGTGCTTTTACAGGAAGATAATAGGTTTCCCATTCCTATATAGGTCCAATAATTGGGAATTAAGATATGAGTAATGGTCTGTTTTCATTTCCCTCCATTCCTAAGTCCTTTGCTGAGTTTGATTTTACTGTTTCTGAATTGACAGTATTCTCCAGTGTATCACATACCATTGATAAGCTGCTTTGTGCTCCCTATCTGTAAGTGAAGTAGCCATTCTAACATTCTAGAATTCTGCTCTGGAATTCCTCTTTATCTAATCTTGGAAGTTGACTCTTATTTACCCTGTTCAGAGACAAGTTTACCTTATTGGATCAGACCATTTATCCCTCTAATCTAATATCCAGTTTCCAGCAAGACCCTGACATACTGTTTCAAAAGAGAGCAGTTTGCTGTATAACATGAAATCAGAGTGTAAAACTTATTACAACTGCATTTAGATTGTGAGCATATTATTTAGCTCCTTTTTTCAGTACATGAGTATAGTAGATTGAAAGAAATTGCAAGATACTTCAAATTATCCCCACTGGATATCTAGTGTTGAATCCTGTGAGCAAATATCCAACATGATATATATAAAATTCATACTTCAGAAAATTTCTTGAGGCTGGGTTCTGGTGGCTCATGCCTGCAATCCTAGCTACTCAGGTTGCGGAGATTTAGGTATAGCAGTTTCAAACCAGCCCAGCTTGACCATGAGACTCTTAAGTCCAATTAACCACTCAAAAACCAGACATAGAGCTCAGAGACAGTGCTTAGGCCCTGAGTTCAAGCTCCATAACTGACTAAATAAATAATAAAATAAAACTCCCTGAGTTAGCAACATTTACTATTATTGGTCCACTAAGTAATTATTTAAATACAACTTTGTTTACTTAAGAAATACAATTTATTTTCCTTCTGTTATGTTTTGATGTGATACTGAAACAATATTTCCCTCAGGATCTGCATTTACTGAAAACTATCTTGCAGTTTTTGAGTGTAGTACTAAAGCTACAGCCCAACTACCATTTGCATATTTTCAGAGGTTCAAAAACCTATATCAGCATCATCTGTGGCATTTCTAAAAAGATGTAATCTAAGTCACTACTCTAGGAAAAATTGACTTTTTAGGATGAAGAACAAGAACCTTCATTTAATAAGAAACCCAAGGGCCAGAAGTGTAAAACCATAGTAAAATGTGTGCCTGCATGTGTTCAGGCCTCCGCACTAAAACTAATAATAATAATAATAATAATAGAAAACCAAAAACAAATACACAAATCCTCCCAAACCTTGTGCAAGTTTGGAATGGTGTTTTCAAGTTTAAAGAAGGGCTTCTGAAAGTAGAGGAGTGGTTCAGATAGTAGCTATGTCTGGTTCGTAAGAGCCCCTTGGGTTAAAACACACCACCACCAACAAAACCCAAAAAACTAAAAGTCGAGGGAAGTGAAAGTCCATAAAATTCTTGGTTAGGAAAGAAAGTATTAAACTAAAAAAAGAAAGAAAAAAATGACTGTTAAACAAGAGTTACTCAAGTTCAAAAAGTATAGGTTAAAAGTCAAGAAACAACATGCAAATGCCAACATTTTAGGAGCAGATGCGTGGATATGTTTGAAGAATGGATGGGGATGAATGAAACTTGACCCATGGAAGCCTTTTAAAATGTGATTTGATTATTCTTCTTCCTGATGAACTCCTTTGTGGTAGGGCCCAGAGACTTAAAATTTAAATTTTCCAGTTTGATCTTCTGGTATAAGGAGTATAGTTTTAGAAACACTAGATTTTGAGACACCAATCATTAATCTTTTGCATGGATCTATGCATGATACCATGTACAGATACACACTGCCATTTATGGGATAGGGTAGGTTCCAAAGATAGAGATGTGTTATCATGGATGTGAAGTGATTCCAGACTAGAGAAGCAGATGAAGAAGTGAAATGAGTCCAGACTGGCTTTGATGATGTTGGCTTTAGTGGATGGATGGAGAATGGGTACACTTATTCAATACATGGACTAGAAGATGAGAAGCTGGCTGGGGGATTGGGTCTAAGACTAAGAACTTGGTGTTCAGACACTTCTGTGGGTAATTGAAGTTGAGATACATTTTAGGAAAATAGGAACTTGCTGGGTTGAAGGTATAGGTAGTAATTATAGAAGTAATTATATGGAAGTAACTATAGATCTTACAGTAAAGAGAGAGAGAAAGGTGCAGAGGGCAGGAGTTCAGGACACACTGAAGAAGGTAAAGCAGAATGAATTACCCTCACAAGAACTGAGAAGTTCTAGCAGGAGCCTGGAAGAAATGCTTTTACTTTGAGGGTGTGCTTAACGTGTCAGCTCCATGAGAAGCCAAATTCCAGTGTGCCAGTACATTAAAAGTGCAAAGCATAACGGGAAACCTCAGTAAAAACAGACGTAGAGACACAACTCGACTGCCTTCCTATCAATCTCGATGTGTACAAGAGATGTGTCTTCTGTTTTTCTGATACTTATTGTCTATTTTTCCAGCTCAAAAGAAGGCAGTGCTATTGCTAGAACCAGTTTGTTGAAATAGTTGATGTACATTCAAGTGTTAAACTATTTTTCAGAGTGAAATTTAATAAGATGCTTACAGGCCAGATTTAGAATAAAAACTTATAAGCTTGTGTCATATTCTTCTTCCTGTAAGAAATAAGTGCCTCTAATGAGGGTCTGTCTCTTACTTTTATTTATTTATTTTTTTAGCACTAGAATGTGAACTCAGTACTTCACATTTGCTGTGTAAAACTCTATTGTTTTTAGCTTCGTGCCTGGCGGCTTTAGTTATGTTTCAAATGTGGCCTTGTATTTTTGTCTTGGTCTAATCTAGGACCAGGATCCTCCTATTTATGCCTCTTAAGTGCTAGAGTGACAGGAATGTTCCATCACCACACCCAGCTTGTTGCTTGAGATGGGATCTTGGTAACTTCCTTTTCCCTAGGGCCAGTCTCAAACCTCCATCTCTGCCACTGGTGCTGGACTAGAAGCACACACAACCACTGGGATTATAGAGATATACCACCTAAACAGCTGGTTTTGTCCCTTACCATGGGAGGATTCAGAAATGACTGGGAGGTTTTATGGTCAATTCTTCTGCAAGAGCTTTGTTGTTGTTATTGCTATTTTATTGCTATTTGCCATTCTTATTCCTGCCAGGGAACTGAGAAGGCTATTATTACTTTGAGAGTATTATTTTACTTTGTGACCTTGTGTGATTTTGAGTACAATTACTTCATTAGTTTTCTGACTGAGCAAACTTAAACCAAAAAGGAAGACAGGGAAATCAAAGTTGATAGCTGTTAAACCAGCTAGTCATTTCTGGTAATTTGACCAGAATTACTTTTTCCTGTTTTTTTTCCTTCAACATTTTTCTAAGCAGATTGAAAACAGAAGAGTAAATACAAATTGGTGGCCCTCATGGATGGGGACTTGAGATAAGAATTTCCTAAACAAAATTGGTGGGTTTGTTTTCTTGTTGTTTTTTTTTTTTTTTTGCTTTTGTTTTTAAATTCTCTGGAACATGTGGTTTGGACATTTCTGTTCTGTTTTTTTTTTTTTTTGGGTCCGGTCCTGGGGCCTGAACTCTGGTCCTGGGCGCTGTCCCTCAGCTCCTCAGCTCAAGGCTAGCGCTCTACCACTTGAGCCACAGTGCCACTTCCGGCTTTTTTCTTTTTGCTTATGTGGTGCTGAGGAATCAAACCCAGGGCCTCATGCATGCAAGGCAAGCACTCTACCACTGAGCCACCTTCCCAGCCCTGGGCATTTCTGTTCTGTAGCAGTTTGTCCACTCCAGTTTACGACAAGCTTCTCAGGGGTGTATGCCTTCACTCTTCTTCCTGACTCTTTGTATAGCCAGACGAGACTAAGCCCATGTTTTCCCTCCAGTTTGCATATTTCTGTTCTTCTCTTCAATGAAAATTTCTCCACAAAACCTGGGTCAAATGCAGAAAGAAAAGAACTGCCAGCATAATAGCAAGCCTTCTCAATGATCCAGATAAAAGCACATTTTCTACTTCCTGGAAGAACTGATCTGGTCTGGCCAATTCTCTGCACCCATGCTGTTATTTTGCCTTCCACTTGACCAGTTCTTCAAAGCCTCATGTTAAGAGACAAGCACTTTAAATTTCAGGCTCTGAATAATCCAGTTTTTAATTGTTATTTCAGAAAACAGTCTGATTTCTGTAAGAAATCAGTCAGGCCCTTATAAGCCTAGCAAAGAATATGACTTAAAGGCTGGTGTTGAATACAAAGGAGGGGATTGGTGGATGTGTGTGTGTGAGTGTGTGAGTGTGTGTGTGTGTGTGTGTGTGTGCATGTGTGTGTGTCTGTCTGTGTGTCTGTCTGTGTGTGTGTCTGTGTGTCTGTACTGGGCCTTGTATTCAGGGCCTGGGTGCTGTCCCTAAGCTTTGAGTCACAGCTCCACCTCCAGTTTTGTGCTTAATTAATCGGAGATAAGAGTCTTAAGGACTCTCCTGACCCAGGAAGCTTTGAACAGCAATTCTCAGATCTCAGCCTTCTAAGTAGCTAGGATTATAAGCATGAGCCACCAGAGCCCAGAAGATTTGTGGATTTTTGAAATTCATTATATAAAGCTCCAGAGCCCTCTTCAAACATGAGCAAGAATATTTGGAATATTTGAAGGAATGACACATTATTTTCTCTTTACTTACTTTCCTTTTAGGATGAATACACAGTTATCAGATTAAAACTTTCTCCTTTTTTTTTCTTTCTTGAGCAGGTTGTCAAGTTATTAAGCAATAAAAGATCACAAGCAGTTGGAATTTTAATGTCCAGTCTTCATTTAGATATGAAAGACATACAGCATGGTGAGTATTAGAACAAAACTCCCCCTTTTGAATAATAAAAGCTAAGTGGAAGAATATGAGGTTTGATGGTAAATTCATTTTGAACTTAACTGTGTCTAGTGAGAATAGTGTATTTTCTTTAAGTGCGTCCAGGTTTTCTGCCATGGTTATTTTTGGAAAATTACTATTTATTTGGCTTTTCAGTTCTACCAATGCAGTGCAAAGGGCCTGATTGTCATGGACATTAGTATTCTATCATTCTGTCAAAATAAAAAGCCATTGACTGAGTGGCTTTTAAACTACAGGAATTTGTTCCTCATACTTGTAGAGGTTATTCAAGCACAGCTCCACCTGGGCTGTGCTGCCAGCACTGTGGGTGATGAAGCCTCACGCTTCTGGCCTATGACTGTCCCTGGACCATGAACTTCCCTTCCATAGCTGCCATGCAGCTCTGATGACAGGCACATTGGACTATGCTTAAGGTGATTTTTCAGACAGAATCTCCTAACTTTTTTGCGCTGCTGACCTCAAACCTTCACATTCCCAGTATTTTCCTTCCAGGTTCCCAGATTTATAGTCATATACCACCATGTCCATCCTTAGCTTACATTTTAAACAGGATTATAAAGTGTTTTCTACTGTTAGAATTAGGATGATTTGTACTATTTTTTAAAATGACATTTGATTCTATATTTTAATGTTTAAATTCTGTCCTATTCTGAATAGGAGTTTCTATTCCATAGATGTCTTTCACATTTATGCTGAGAGATATTACCTAAAGGTGAATACAGGAATGATACAAAAATATTCTCAATGTCTTTTATGCTGCCCAAAGCCTTAGAATAGATTTAAAGCAGATTGTTTTATTCAATGGAATGCCAGTTTACCTGTTAAAAGAATGTAGTTTCAAGTATAGACCTGACAACATTTAACTGGCTTTCTAGTTTCCCCATTTATGAATATGGACTCTATTTTTAGGCCTAATACATTGTGTGGAATTATTCATAAATAGCCCCAGCATGGTATGCTCTGTCAATCGATGAGTAAGTCTTAATCACAATTTACATTTTGATTAAATTGTTTTGATGGCGAGGAGACTTCCTCAAACTGAAACATTTGGGGTAATAGTCATAGGAGAGAAGGCCAAGCCTGGCGCCAACAAGGACTTGCTTTGCAAAAGCTGGCAGATGTAGCCCAGTTAAGTCACAGAATGAAATCTGAAAGCAATGATATGGTCTTTTCCTTCAGTCAAATATTCAACTTGGGCTGAGCTAATAATGAGAACCGTATGAATCAAGGAGCCTGCCTGACATGTCTGTCTGTGGTGCAGCCAGAGAGTTCATTGAAAAGTTGCTTGCTTAACATGCAAGGGGATCAGTCACAAGGTGTGAATGGCAGTCATTGGTTGATCATGCAGAATGAGGTGTAAACCTTATCCTCTTAGGATGAGAAGTGATGAATGGAGTCCCTTTGAATCTCTCCAACATTTATGAATTGTGTGTGTGTGTGTGTGTGTGTGTGGTGTGTGTGTGAGTGTGATGCTGAATATTTATTGGATCCTTGCTAAGGAACAGCGTTGCCACTATCCATATCACTCAGTCACACATACACAGTTCACACACACACACACACACACACACACACACACACACACAAATGCACACAATATGGCACCTCATCAACTGCCATCTTTCCCATTTTACATGTGTTATCTTTGTCTCTTACCGGAAACTCCTATCTGTCTCTGTGCACTCTCTCAGCCTCTCATGCATGCTGTACTGAGCCAAATCAAAAGAAAGTGTCATGGATCGGGATGTTTTGAGGACTTCATTAAGAGAAGCATATGACCATTTATTAAGATATTTGTAGGCACATGATATTGCAGGCAAGAAAAAGTGGGGAAAAAAAACCCTGAAGATACTCAAAAGTAAAGACTTATATGGGGAAGATTTACAGGAGTAATCATTTGTTTTCCAAGGCAGGATGGAAGGAAAGGGTAATTGTGTACTTTTTGAGCTTTACTGGAACTGAAATTGTTGTATTATGTGCACCTTCCCTGCTGTGTATGAGGATGAAACCTTACAGCAAATTGATGCTGAGCATGTCCTTCAAAAGTCTCTCCATCCATGTATCACTGTCACTAGAGCAGTGTAGAAGTCACCTGGCAAATGACTCCCATGATCAGAAGGGTTTTCAATCACTTAGTACAAGAGTGTGTACATCTAAAGGCGGTGCTTCCATCCATGACTTTGCCTATCATTTTGTTGTGTCAGGAAGGCAGTCACTAGTTAATCCTTTTAAATGAAATCCTTGTAAATTAACGTTTCAAATATGGTAAGAACTGTAGTATGATTTAGTAGTTTGAAACATTAACCAGTTTGTGCTATGTTTGTTAAATATGGCCCAAAGGGTAAGCATTTTAAACACTTAGATTTTTTATAGGTCATATATGTGTTTTTCACATTAAGATATTGCCTTATTGCTTGAATGGAAGCAGCATGTTCTACTCTGAACAAGGCTGGTGAAGTTGGGATCCATTCCCAGAAAGGCAAAATCACATTGGTTAGCTTTCTCATCCTTCAGACCTTCCATTACCACTTTTCTTTCTTTATTTCCTCTTGAGATTTTGCCTTGGTCAATTAGAAAGTACCTAGTGTGTTCTTTATCTCTTTGATGAAAATATGGTCAAATGTCTCAATTATCAAAATAAATACATCCAATTTGTGATTCTCCAAGTTGTAATTTTCTTCTGGAATGCTTTAATCCTACAAGAAAATCCTTTAGTGCTACTTGACACAAATTCAACTGGGCAAATCTACCTGGTTACCAGTTAATACATACACAATAAATGAATGTTTAATGTTTTTGACTAACCTGTCCCTAAACCATGCAATATGATGCACCTGCTTCAAAATACAAGAACATATCATGGCATAAAAAACGAGTTTAAAGAATATATTCCTGGAATTCAGTTATCTACTTGGCTTTTTCCTTGGATAACTATGTAGTTTTCTATTTCAAGAATAGATTTTGGGGAATAATTGTGTACTGATTCCTATCAATTATATTCCTTTATTGTAATCCTTTAAGGAATTATTGCAAAAATGCATCATTTCCTCAAGTTTTCAAGTTGAATGTTTAACTATTGTCAAAATTTTTTGGATAAATCTGCAGGAATATGAAATAAAACTAAGACATACCACTTTTAGAAATAATTTGCCTGTTTTCTTTTTTCTGGGAGTAAATGGGTTTTTTTTTTCAAATGTCTTTATTGGAACTATGAAAGACAAACTTAAACTTTAACTTAACTATGAAAGAAAAACTTAAACTTAAACTTTATCTCTGACCTGTAGGTATTCTTGGGAAATAGTATTTGTGGAGCAAGACATAGCTTTGACATTTGACACCTGTCCTGTGAAATCCTTAAGGTCTCCAGAGAGTGGGCAGGCAGGGGCACTTAAGTTAGAGCTCTATACTGTCTAGAGTGTGCATTGCTGGCAGAGATGGACAAACACCTTTTCACAGCTAGCTTAAGGCAACTTACATTCTTTCGTCTTTCTTCACAGCTGTTGTGAACTTGGACAATTCTGTGGTTGACCTGGAGACACTTCAAGCTCTTTATGAGAATGTAAGTAAGGGAAGATATTTATGTGAATGTGTGATTCACATATAACACCTGTGCATGTGTGCACATAGGCAAACTCTTCTAATATCCTCCAAGGAATCTAATCAGGTGCAGTAAACTTCCCTAAGTAGGGCTTGGTTACAATATTTCTGAGGGCACATTAGGAAAATCTGTGGTCTAATATTTACAGGATGTGATTCACAAGATGCTGCTTATACAGCCACTCTCGTTTCCTCTTAGAATTAGTAATAAAGGCATTCATGGGAGTTGAGTTGATTGTTCCCCTAGTTCACATACAGTGACTTAAAATAGTATTTTGGATAATTTTGTGTCTCTCTGTAAAGAGATTTGACCAAATATAAATTTCTGGATGTAACTATAGAAACTCAGAATGTATGTCTTTATTTAAGTGTGCATATATAAATAGATAGATAGATAGATACATATACTTTATATATATGGTATATATATATATAAAGTGTATATATAAAGCATATAAAGTATGTATATATATACATACTTGAAAAAGACATACATATACACACACATGATGTTCAAATTAATGTTATGACTTGTAAATATAACATGGAATAATTAAATCAAGCTAATTATATATCCATTGTGTTGAATACTTATATTTGATAGTGAGAACATTGGAAATTTAATTTCTTAGCAAGTTACAATGTCCAGTATATTTACTCCACTTTGAATATATCTTCAAAAAAGTAATATTTAATATGTTTACTTGAGGCATTATAGCCTATGATGATTATCTCCCTATTCTCTGCATTCTGTGCTAGTCCTTTCAATTTGAATGTTTTACATTACACAGAAAACAAACCATGTGGTGTTTTGTTTTCTGTAGTGGCTTATTTTACCTAGTTTAATATTTTCCAATTCCAACTTTATTGTTGTAAATGACAATTTTTTCCCTTTTTAGATCAAATGTTAGTGATTGTATGTGTTCATGTTTGTTTTTCATTTTCTTTATATAGTGGTTTACAAATAGTATTTGTTCCATTAATATGTACATAGAACATTAATATCCATTTACATAAGCCTATTTTGGGCAATAGATGTTTATATAGGAAAAACTTATATGAATTCCTGACAACCTCCATTAGAATACAAGTCAGGAGGATAGAAATATCTCTTATTTATAGCAATATTGCTAATACCCAGATTTAAGATGATTCTGATACATAGGGATTATTAGGTAAATACTACTGGATTTTTGTTCTTTTTTTTTTGCACATTAAATATAAGCAATTTTATTAGGTTAATTTGTTTATTTCTCAACATTAACTCATAAAGTGATAAGTTTACTTCATTTTAGCAAATGAAAAAATATCGCTTAGAAAGGGTGATCTAATTTCCCTTGGGATCAGACTGCTAACTGCATGATGCAATGTGGATTAAGATTCAGGTCTAACTCTGAAATTAACAACTTTGCTCCATCACAGATTCAGAACTTTGATATAAGTCACCTACTTCCCTTCCTGGCTTTTTCACATCACTTCTTCGTATGTTTTCTTTATTCTTTACTTCATAATTCTTTTTCTCTTTTGGAGGTACTAGCTTTTGAACTCAAGGCCTAATAGTTGCTAGAAAGATAACGCACTGAGTTTTTATGAAATTGAAACCCTCAAAAGGCCATCACTGGCAACTTGATCTGAACACTTGAGCCCTTTGGAGGAACACTTAATACCCAGACTACACCAGTGCTTATAAGCTAATGGCTTATGTGTGAGAAGTATATTATTACTCCTGTTCTTCAAAGATGAAATGGAGGTAGAAATTCATACAACTTCAAGCTGAGGTTGATTCTTGCTTACATCTTGCTCTAAAGAGTGTGCTCTTAGTGGAGAACTTTCTCGCTCATGAGGATAAAGGACAGAGCTCTTCCTGGTTCAACTTAGGCAGCACAGGTAGTGGAAAGTTGGACAACGAAGCTAGAACCTTCTTTGAGTTCCGTACCTCAGTTAAGCAGATACATGGCCTCACCAAGTTAGTTTCTCTCCTTCAGTGTCACTTTCTTCATTCAAATAAGAATTTGGTCTTCTTAGGAATCATAATATCAAGGTTAACTTTCTGTTACCACAAAATGGATGTACAAATGTTTTGTAGACCATTAATGACTACTGTGCTTTCATTTATGTTCAGTACTGGAGATTGAATATAGGGTCTCATTTTCTTATTTTAATAAAATGTAGGCTCCTCTTCAACATCTAATTGATACTAATAAAATATTTTTTAAAAACTTAAGACATATAAATAAAACTTGAATGTGCTAAACTAGGGATAGCACTTACTTAACATTTATTAGTAGTTATGTTTTTCTAAGTCTAAAAGGATTCAGTGCAACTATGCTTAGGTGCTATGCAAATTAAAGTAAGTAATGTCTAAAGATCTTGCAATTAAAGAGTTTAAATTCTTATGTTTCCAGAAACCATAAGTAAGTTGGGGAGAAGAGTAATTTTCAAAGTTAAATGACAAATGATCCTCCTTTGTTTCTAGACATCATCGTCATTTTAAAACTTGAATTTTATCTTTTGAAATAATCTTAAAGAAGAAACAAAGTTGCAAATGTAAAATATAACCACTTCTAATTCCCAATACCATAAAATTTCTATTTGCAAATATCTGTCAAGATATCTTGATGTCCAATTTTTTGGGTGTGCATTTCATACAAATAAGCTGATCCTTTTAAACCGTGCAAGAATTAACATTAGGAATTGCATACTGAAGTATTATCATAATCTGATACTTGTACTCCAGCTCAGATTTGCCAGGTGCTTCAAAATATCTTGTGGTTGGAGGTGGTTGAAACTTGCAAAACATTTTTACATGCCCCCGTTCCGCAACAGGCACTTGCTGATTTTCACTTTGTATTTCCCCTGTGTATGTATTCATTTTATCTTCCAACTTATGTGTAAATTCCCCATTAGTAGGATTTTTATATTCTGACTGAAAATAATGGTTAATATACTCATGTCTATTACCAACTAATTAGTTAAATGGTGACCTGATTATAGCATTCTTCTTTGCTTTCATATAACTGAAAGAATTTTATAATTGAATAGTAAAAATAGCTGGATCACTATTTCTGCTTTAGATGCTTTGCCTTAATGAATGATGACCATAAAATATAATTTGTTTTGCTGGGTGCTGGTGAATCAAACCTGTAAGCGATTCCAAAAGCAGAAATGTATAGAACTGAGCCTCAAATATAGCTTGGGTAGAACAGTGCTCTACAGTCTATCTCTAATTAGCCAGCAATAAACCAAGCAGGAAGCATTGTTCGTTCTTGATGATGACCATTCAGACTTGATGAAGATGAAATCTCAATTTGTTTTTTTCCCCTTTTTATTGTTATTGTAAAGGTAATATACAGAGGGATTACAGTTATGCAAGTCAGGTAATGACTGCATTTCTTTTTGAACCATGTTACCCCTTCCTCTCATCCCCACTCACGAGTTATAGAGTTCATTTTCAAAATAGTGTCTAGTGAGTGTCACTGCTGCATTTGTTTGCCCTTTGTGATTTGCATTACACCAGTGGCTCAAGATGTTGAGCATGTTCTTCATGTATTTGTTTATTTTGAGAACTCTCCGTTCAAGATATTTTTGGCTATTTGTTGAATGGATTGTTATTTGGCATTTAATGTTTTGAGTTCTTTATTATTCTGAGTATTAATTCCCTGTTCGATGAATAGCTACTAATGTGACTCTCCTAATTTTCAAGCTGTACTAGATTATTTTAACTGATATTAAATTAGTCATTCCAGATTTGTCACATCGTTTATATTTTTTCTTTATGAGCCTCCAACTTAACTGTTTCGTATTGGAAGTGCATCTCTTATGCAGAGTGTGTTGTGATCATTTCTCTTTTCTTGGAAAATTTGAATTGTTAACATTTAATATAACTATTGTGATGGCTCAAGTGCTAGAGGAACCGCATGATGCCTAGGAAGCATAATGCCCTGAGTCCAAACCCTACTACACCCCAGATTTGCTCCCAGAAGGAAAACAAAGTGTGGTGCTATCACATGTTATTGACGACCCTGTGAACAAAAACCTGTAGCATTTATACATTATAAACTAGTGAACATCAGCAAAAAGCAACTTGGTACAATCCAATATAATTAGTGGTACACCAGAACATTCACACCAGGAATTCTACCCCTAAATCTCATCAAATACTTTTAATAGCACACTACCAACTACCAAACCTGAGTAGATTAAATGTATAGGTCCATGCAGATTTGTCTGATAATTTGAATATAATTCCAGGCCAGGAGAGAATTGTGAGAATTTAAAAAAATAATATTTTAAAGTATTAAAGTGTAGAATAATTTCTTTCATATAGAAACATAGTTGAGTCCATTCTGCTCTGTGCTATATATGAATCTAAATATAAACACAACGAACATGAAACCAGGATCATATTACCATTATGCAGCAATAATGTGGAATAATATTTTCCATATGGGGTTAGACATTTGTTTTTGTTATTTTTTCTATGGCAAGAAAACCAGAAACCAAAGAAGTAATAAGAAAGTAAAAATTCCCTTCCCATTCCTGGGAAAGAGCTGAGCCTTTATATCCCAAGAATGGGTTCTCCTGGGTCAGATAGTCTATCTGGCCCTTTTGACTTCATAATCACAAACACAATTTTCTTCATCTTCATCAATTGAGACAGGCTGTTGTGAGAGTTCAGGTTGTCAAGGCTCTCAAATTGGTATTGTCTTTATTTGTCTATAGATTCAAGGATCTCACAACCATTTTATCCAGCTGGTCTGCAACAAACATTTTTATCTTTATTTTTTATTTTTTTAATTTAATTTAATTTTATTTGTGAACATACTGTACAGAGGAGTTACAGTTACATGGGCAGGATAATGCGTACATTTCTTACCAAGCATTGCAGCTTCCTCCTTTGTTTACCCTTCACATCCCTTCCCAGCCTCCCCCCTCCCCCCCTTATCCCAATCCTTCTCCTCC